AACCCCAGCAACATTCTGAAGGGCCATTGGCCATTCAATTATGCCATTAAATGAATGAATAACATGAATGAACTTAAATCTTAGTTTGTCTGTATCATAGTAATGTGTTACGTTTCCCTGCCTAGTAAGGAAATAATGTTTATACAACAGATACCATTTATAGTCACAAAGGACACATGAAAAAATAACAATTTTCGAATATACCATTAACATGTATAGTAACAAAGATGAACAAGAACGTGTTTGTTAAACACAAATGCCCCCGGCTCCGATTCTTGTCAGTAGCAATATTTCAAAAAATGTTTACCCATTCACTCAGTTATATGGACAGAAACATTGCCAAAAATTGTAAACACAAGTTATATAGCTTGACAGAGTCATGGCATTTTGTAATTGTGAAATATATAAGTTGCCAAGTCATTGCTATGACTTGTGAATATTCAACTTTATCAAATACATGTATATATAAATGTAAGAAATCTATATTTGGCACCCTTGACCTTGACCCCCTGACACCTATAGAATATCATGCAAGTTATCTTCCTACCAAATATGAAATACACCTGTCAATAAATAAAAATCTATTTTGAGCATTGATGACCTTGATCCAACTGACCCCTAACTCCATCCAAAGGAAGAATACCATGTTAGTTATCTTTCAACCAAATATGAAATAAATCTGTCAATAAATAAAGGCTGTATGGGCAAAAGTGTAAAAATCTATTTTTAGCACTTGTGACCTTGACCCAACTGACCCCTAACTCCATCCAAAGGAAGAATAGCATGCAAGTTATCTTCCTACCAAATATGAAATATATCTGTCAATAAATAAAGGCTGTATGGGCAAAAGTGTTAAAATCTATTTTTAGCACTAGTGACCTTGACACACTGATCCCTAACTCAATCAAAAGGAAGAATACCATGCAAGTTATCTTCCTATCAAATATGAAATACACCTGTCAATAAATAAAGCCTGTATGGGCAAAAGTGTAAAAATCTATTTTTAGCACAAGTGACCTTGACCAACTGATCCCTACCCCAATCAAAAGGAAGAATACCATGCTAGTTATCTTCCTACCAAATATGAAATACATGTATATCTGTCAATAAATAAAGCCTGTATGAGCAAAAGTGTAAAAATCTATTTTTAGCACTGGTGACCTTGACCCAACTGACCACTAACTCCATCAAATTTTATGTTCCTATCAATTATAAATGACATCTGTCTATAGAATATGTTTAATACACCTGTAAAAATGTAAAAATCTATTTTTAACATTGGTGACCTTGACATTGGTGACATTGACCTTGACCCCAATGACACCTTACTATACCCAAAGAAGGAGGACCTCCCTTGGCATGTTTGTATTAAACATGAAAGACTTCAACCAAAAAATAAAGGCTGTATGAGCAAAAATGTTTAAATTTATTTTCTAAACCAGTGACCTTGACCCTAGAGACCACTTACTCCACAAAAAATTAGAGGATCATAAAAGGTATCCACCTACCAAATATGCAAGATATCTTTAAATAAATTAAGCAATTAAGAGAAATTTACGATAAATCCAACTTGCCAGAATAGGTTAACCAGACAAGGCCCTATTTTCAAAGTGAAAAAAGGGAAATAACTGGGAAATATGGATGACACAGTTATATAACTTGGCAATATCATGTACTTTGTATTGATACGTAAGTGTGGAAATTATGAAGCCATTAGTATTGATAGAACTTAAGATATTTCCAACTTGTCGTTTTAGGTTAACCATTATTCATTTTCTAAGTGCTGAAAAGGGCAATAACTTGGTAAATATGAAAGCCATAGTTATGTAACTTGACCAGATCATGTACTTTGTATTGATTAGTAAGTGTGTAAACTAAGAAGCCATTGGTGCAGGTAGAACTTAAGAAAAATCAAACTTGCCGATCTAGGTTAACCTTGTACGGACAGACAGACGGACGGACAGATGGACGGACGGTTCAATTACTATATGCCCGGGGGCATAAAAATTAAAAAGAAAAAGAAATATAATTATATATTTAATGTAGGTGTTGATAATGAATGTTTATTTAAATTTGAAGTAAATCCCTGAAGAAATAAAAAAGTTAAAGAATGAATAAGAACAATTCAAAGATTAATGAGGAGATAATTCTGGAAATATGAATTTTAGATTTATAAACCTTGTCATATTATTATGATGTGGGAGTTTGAAGTCAATCCTAGTTCAAGGGGGACATAATTCTGGAAATAGTCTTGCTAGAGTATTGAACCTTCTCACAAATGATTTGAATGATAATAAGAAACATAATATATTAAGTTTGAAGTAAATATATTAAGAAATAAAGAAGTATTTAAAAAAAAAACCCATTTTTTTTATCATGAAAATTCTAAGTTCAAGGGAGGTAATTCTGATAATTTGTGTGCTAAAGTTGTAAACCTTGTCACATATGATGTGGTTGATGACCAGAAACTTATATTTAAAGTTTGAAGTGAATACGTTAAGAAATAAAGAACTTATAGTGAAAAAGCATTAAAACTAGAATCAGACATCTTGACAAGGTTTATCTGACGTTTGTTAATTATGACAGCTCTCAATAAACTCCCTATAGTCAACATTAAAATAATGTGTATAATTTCCATACTGCAATCTATCCATATTTTAAGACATTTTATAACATTTCCCTTTGAGTAATTGGCACCAAGCACAAAATTATTACTTAACTGTTAAAACCATACTTAAAACAACAGAATAATACTTGGTTCCTAAAATATTTTACGATGTTTTCATACAATATTCATGTGTGTTAAAAAACAAAGACATTTTAGGTCAAATTTTTTTTACAAGAATCAATCATAAGATTATGACAAGAGCTGTATGTAACTAGAAATGTGTCCATAGGACACGGGTGCCCCCACCGCGCCACTGTTCTGTCAATCTTATGACTCTAGGTCAAATATTTTTTTGAAAACTAAAAATCTTTTACTAAGTAAAGGGCAAGAACTTTACAAATACTGAATAAATCCACAAGCAAACCCAAAGGTGCATAAGTACACATGATGACCAACATTCTGGTAAACTTTCAGGCCTACAATACTTTTTGAGCTATGCATGAACAAGTTGAAAATTGTAAATTTATACTAGTGTAAGTCAAGGGCAATAACTCTTACAAAACTGAAAAAAATCCACATGCAAAGTCCCAGGTTCATAGCTTCACAGTGATGTGAATCATTATTCCTGTAATTTAGTTGATTATTGATTATTATTTCTGTAAAGTTGGTTGATACTCAAGGAACAAATAACAACATAATGAAACGGTTTTTACTAAGTCAAGGGAAATAACTCTACAAATACTGGATAAATCCACAAGCGAAACCCCAGGTGCAAAACTAAATATGCTGAGCAACCTTCCCGTAAGGTTTAATGACTTTATGCCAAATCCTTTTTGAGTTACATGCGACACAAGTTGAAAATTGCAAAAAATTTCTAAGTCAAGGGCAATAACTCTAAAAATACTAAATAAATCCAATCGAAAATACCTAGGTGCACAACTACACATGCTGATCAACATTCCTGTAAAGTTTCATGACTCTAGGTCAAATACTTTTTGAGTTACATGCGACACAAGTTGAAAATTGCAAAATTTTACTAAATCAAGGGCAATAACTCTAAAAATACTACATAAATCCACACGAAAACACCCAGGTGCACAATTACACATGCTGATCAACATTCCTGTAAAGTTTCATGACTCTAGGTCAAATCCTTTTTGAGTTACATGCGACACAAGTTGAAAATTGCAAAATTTTACTAAATCAAGGGCAATAACTCTTAAAATACTAAATAAATCCAAATGAAAACACCTAGGTGCACAACTACACATGCTGATAAACATTCCTGTAAAGTTTCATGACTAGGTCAAATACTTTTTGAGTTACATGTGACACAAGTTGAAAATTGCAAAATTTTACTAAATCAAGGGCAATAACTCTTAAAATACTAAATAAATCCAAATGAAAACACCTAGGTGCACAACTACACATGCTGATAAATATTCCTGTAAAGTTTCATGACTCTAGGTCAAATACTTTTAGAGTTACATGTGACACAAGTTGAAAATTGCAAAATTTTACTAAATCAAGGGCAATAACTCTAACAATGTCCAGACGAAAATACCCAGGTGCACAACTACACATGCTGATCAACATTCCTGTAAAGTTTCATGACTCTAGGTCAAATACTTTTTGAGTTACATGTGACACAAGTTGAAAATTGCAAAAATTTTACTAAATCAAGGGCAATAACTCTAAAAATACTAAATAAATCCACACAAAAACAACCAGGTGCACAACTACACATGCTGATCAACATTCCTGTAAAGTTTCATGACTCTAGGTCAAACACTTTTTTAGTTACATGCGACACAAGTAGAAAATTGCAAAATTTTACTAAATCAAGGGCCATAACTCTAAAAATACAAAAAATATTCAGACGAAAATACCCAGGTGCACAACTACACATGCTGATCAACATTCCTGTAAAGTTTCATGACTCTAGGTCAAATACTTTTTGAGTTACATGCGACACAAGTAGAAAATTGCAAAACTTTACTAAATCAAGGGCCATAACTCTAAAAATACAAAAAATATTCAGACGAAAATACCCAGGTGCACAACTACACATGCTGATCAACTTTCCTGTAAAGTTTCATGACTCTCGGTCAAATAATTTTTGAGTTACGTGCGACACAAAAGTGAAAGGACGGAAGGAAGGACGGACGGACAAGGGTAAATCTAAATGCCCGGCACAAAAAACTCGGGAAAATGTCTTCAAGACTCATTATATTTAGACACTAGTTCCTTTAGCTCTTAACTTGATGGATTTAACATTTTACTAAAGAGCCAATATTTTTAATATAAGAATCACTAACTTTCCAAAGCAGAGGAGGGAGTGATCTTAGCCACTAAGCTATGTGGGTTCTGTTTCAAAATAATTTGGCTTTACCTTTTTCTTGGTAACAAAAAGACACCTCCAGCAATCTTCTGAGGCATGATTCCAAGTATTGCCAAAACTACCTCAACAGCATCAGAATTCTGTAACAAGAAAATAACCTGGTTAATTTGCCCTGCTTTGAATTTGGAACAGTGCATGTAAATTTTTAGAGATTTTAATAAATCCCCTGTCACATAATTATTGCAAGTCTGGAAATATTACCATGTGTGTGATTATTACGCAGTAGTTTGGATGGTGCCATGATAATCACAGGTTATGTTTGCACCAACACAATATAGGTTATAAGGTGCCGAAACTGGAAAGATGATTTTGGCTAATGTTGAGTAGTAACCTCAGTTGTTACATGGGGTAAAAAAAATTAACTCACTTACAGGAGTTAAGAGATGCATAGACTCCAGTTATTCAAATCCATTTTGTGTTTTTTGTTTGTTTTATTTAGGGTTTTCAGTAATCAATGTGTTATCAAATTAGTTAAAATCACAAAATCCTAGTCAACTTTATTAAAAATAAAATTTTAATTCTTTGATAATGTCAATTATGATGTCATATTTGACCATTTTTGCATTTACTTAAGTTCTGCTCACCTTCAGTTGGCCAATAATGATTATGACTTCAGTCCACTCATGGCTGCAAACTCATAATTGGTTACATGACACTGAAAATAAGTTGAAATCATGGTTTAATTGTTTACTATTTATAGTAACAAGTCTATTAAATTCTTGTGAACAGTCCTCAGGTTTTATCTACAAATATGTTGAATAGTCATGTTACCCAAAATCTTCATACAGAACAATAATACGATTTATGTTACCAAAATTCTTCATACAGAACAATAATACGATTCATGTTACCAAAAATCTTCATACAGAACAATAATACGATTCACATTACCAAAAATCTTCATACAGAACAATAATACGATTCATGTTACCAAAAATCTTCATACAGAACAATAATACGATTCATGTTACCAAAAATTCTTCATACAGAACAATAATACGATTCATGTTACCAAAAATCTTCATACAGAACAATAATACGATTCATGTTACCAAAAATCTTCATACAGAACAATAATACGATTCATGTTACCAAAAATCTTCATACAGAACTACAATATGATTCAAGCTTTACACAGGCAACATTTTGGTTTTGATATTTCTTTAGATTTTAAATGTACCTGCACTTGTCAATGTGTCCCGCATTGCAGGGCTTCTTAATTAAGTAAGACTAAAGACTTTTCATTTGAAGCCCTTTTCTGCCTAAACCGTGAATCTCATTTATCATAAATATGATTAAAACTTATATTATAATTATTCATAAATAATGTTGGAAAGATAATGACAGGAAACTGAATTTTTTTTTTTACCAAAGTTAAAGGGGCATAACTCTGCCAATTGTAAAATTTGAGTCGAATGTGTACAACTGTTTGGGGAGGGGGGGATAATAAATGGAAACTGAAAAATTCCCTTCAAAGTCATAGAAAGATAAAATACTGTAATCACTCTGTCAAAAATAATCAAACCATACTAAATTTGAAGTTGACTTGCACATTCCTATGACATAAACATAAGTTAAATTTCAGTTGAATGTGTACAACTGTTGGGAGATAAAGAATGGGAACTTAAAATTTCCCCTTTTTTGTCAAAGTTAAGGGGCATAACTGTCAAAAATGACCGAACCATGACCAAATAGACTGACATATCTATATATTAAATTTCAGTTGAATGTGTTCAACTGTTGGGAGATAATGAGTGGAAACTGAAAATTTCTTATTTTTTTCAAAGTTAAAGGGGCATGTTACTCTGCCAAAAATCATTGAAGCATGACCAAATTCCAACTTGACCTGGGCATTCCTTTGCCGTATTCAAATGTCAAATTTGATTTGAATGTGTACAACTGTTGGGGAGATAATGAATTGAAACTGAAAATTTCCCTTTTTTTCAAAGTTAAGATAAAAGATAAAATACTCTGTAATCACTCTGTCTTAAATCACCAAACCATGACCAAATTTGAACTTGACCTGCACATTCCTATGACATATCCATATGTTACATTTGAGTTGAATGTGTACAACTGTTTGGGGATAATGAACCAAAACTGAAAATTTCTTTTTTTTTCAAAGTTAAAGGGGCATAACTCATCAAACTATAACCAAATTCCAACATGACCTGGCCCTGTATTCACAAAGATTTAAGGATCAAGATCAGGATCAAATTAAAACTAGAAATGTGTCCATAGGACACAGGTGCCCCCACACTCCACTAATTTGTCAATCTAATGTCTCTAGGTCAAATATTTTTTTTTTGGCTACATGTGCCCAAGTTGAAAACTAAAAATCTTTTACTAAATAAAGGGCAAATACTACAAATACTGAATAAATCCACAAGAAAACCCCAAGGTGCAAGTACACATGCTGACCAACATTCTTGTAAACTTTCAGGCCTACAGGTCATAAACATTTTGAGTTACGTGCAACACAAGTTAAATATTGTAATTTTTTACTAAGTCTAAGTCAAGGGCAATAACTCTAAAAATACAAAAAATATCCACACAGAATACCAAGGTGCACAACTATACATGCTGAGCAACATTCCTGTAAGGTTTCATGACTCTAGGTCAAGTACTTTTTTAGTTACGTGCCACACAAGTTGAAATTGGAAATTTTTACTAATTCAAGAGCAATAACTCTAAAAATACTAAATATATCCACATGAAAATACCCAGGTGCACAACTGCACATGCTGATCAACATTCCTGGAAGGTTTCATGACTGTAGGTCAAATATTTTTTGAGTTACGTGCAACACAAGTTGAAAATTGGAAATTTATACTAAGTCAAGGGCAATAACTCTAAAAATACTAAATATATCAACATGAAAATACTCAGGTGCAGAACTTCACATGCTGATCAACATTCCTGTAAGGTTTCATGACTCTAGGTCAATTACTTTTTGAGCTACATGCGACACAAAAAGGGAATGGATGGAAGGATGGACGGAAGGATGGCAGGACAGACATTAGGGTAAATCTAAATGCCCCCCCCCCATAGTGGGGGCACAAAAACTCATATATTATCCAGTGTTTATCCTCAGAGATTAAATATTTAATATTAACTTGATAAAATTGGACATGAAATAGCAAGTATATGAAATTTTAGAATAAATTTATTGTTATTTTTGCAATATACTGGCATTTTACAGTTGATCCAAATATTGATCTTGATCCTAAAATTGATCCTTATTTTGATCCGATTAATTTTGTATTTGTTTTGTTATTCATTGATTTTATCCTACAATAGGTTGGTTTCTTTGTAAATCAGCATTTTCTTACATTTTGAATAATTATGCACCATTTAATTCTAGCAAAATATGATTAATTTTAGAAACATAAGACAATGAAAATTAAATCAGGATCACTTGATCTTGATCTTTTCTTTGTGAACATGGGGCGCGGGCATTCCTTTGACATATCCATATAATTATCAAATTTGAGTTTCAGGTGTACAACTGTTGGGCAGATAATGAATGGAAACTGAAAATTTCATTAACCTTTTCCCTTATATAGACGTGTTTTGACAGCTTTTCCCCTCCCCCCCCCCTTTTTGAGGCCTCAAACAGTGAAAAATTCCCTATTTAGGCCCCAAACACTGTTATTTGTTTGAGAAATGTTGTTAAAAAAGTGACCAGCTCCACCCCCATCAAAATGTTACATCAGGGGGTTGCCAGAAGGGGGATGTGCCCCCTTCTGTTTGGGGGGTTTGAAGGGGGAGGGGGGCGGCAGTCCCCCTAAACGCCAAGAAAATTTTGGACATATGACAGGCTAAAAATGGCCTCAGGTCGATCTTAGGGTAACTAGTAACCGATCTGAAAAGCCTTTTACTCTATCTCAATTCATTGAGAAGTTGCAGCACTTTGAAATCAGTTTTGATGGAAAAAAAAAAACAATGCAAAATAGTGATTTTTGGCAATTTTGAGACGTCCCCCATTGCCATGGTAACAGGAATTGTACGAATGAGCATGCTGTTACAGAGGCTATGGTCTAGTCAACATTTGTGCCAAGTTTCATCAGTATTGAAGGATTTTTCATAGTTTCATAGCAGTTTGAACTTGTTACAGGAGGCTTTTCAATGAAAACGGCCATTTTTCCCAATATGCTCATGGGTTAAAAGGTTAAGGGGCGTTATTAACTCTATAAAAAATCTTCGGACCATGACCGAATTCAAACTTGATATGCACTTTCTGATGGTATATCCATATATCAAATTTGAGTTGAATGTTACTGTTACCAAGATTATAAATGAATGAAAACTGATCATCAGATGATATCAGAATGACAGAATTTTGGAATACATGCAGGGGCATAAACAATCTGAAGTCTTTGACAAGATTTAAACCTACAGTGGTAACAAGGGCCAAGTGACTTGTAGTCTGCGAACTTAGTCACTTGCCCATGGAAGCTTCTACATTTTTCAAAGAAAAACAGATATGTTTGTAAAACATGTATGCCCCAATTCTATAACAAAGTTATCACAAATCTCACCAAATAGGCTTCCTTTATTACAGTCAATGTGTTATATTACATTAGACCTTGAAATGCGTATACCAAACACATTTTAAGTTTAACAAGAGCCCGTTGAACCGGGTGATGCTCCCCGAATAGGTTCTGGACACAGGAATACCTCTTTTAGTGTCAGAGTTATGTCACAGACAAAGTTCAAAGTGTAAAAACAACCCAAATGTTGTGCACGACACATTGTCTCAATATGGTGATCATTTCTGTGAAATAGTTGTAAAATCTGACTTCAAGTAACGAAGTTATGGGCGGGACATGACCCAAATGTTGCACGCGACACGTCGATTCAATATGGTAATTATCTCTGTGAAATAATTGTTAAATCTGACTTCATGTAACAAAGTTATGGGCCCGACACGATTTTGCTGCAAGGTCATGCTGTGACCTTGACCTTCAAGGTAGCGACCAAAATGTTGCGCGCGCCACGTCATCGCAATATGGTGATAATTTCTGTAAGATAGTTTTAAAATCTGACTACAAATAATGAAGTTATGGACTGGACACTATTTTGCTTCAAGGTCATGCTGTGACCTTGACCTTCAAGGAAGCGACCAAAATGTTGCGCGCGACATGTTGTCTAAATATGGTGATCATTTCTGTGAAATAGTTTTAAAATCTGACTTCAAATAACAAAGTTAGGGGCCGGACACGAATTCGGGACGTACGTACGGACCGACTGACGGACAGGAGGACAACCCGACGACTATATGCTCCAATGACTAATCACCATACCAAGTTTGAAGTTCCTAGGCCTAAGCGTTCTTTTGTTATTGATCGGAAACTGTTTTTACCTACAAGGTCAATGTGACCTTGACCTTTGACCCCTTGACCCCAAAATCAATAAGGGTCATCTGCTGGTCATGACCAATCATCATACCAAGTTTGAGGTGCCTAAGCGTTCTTTAGTTATTGATCGGAAACCGTTTTTACTTACACCGTCAATGTGACCTTGACCTTTGACCCCTTGACCCCAAAATCAATAGGGGTCATCTGCTGGTCATGACCAATCACCATACCAAGTTTGAGGTTCCTAAGCCTAAGCGTTCTTTAGTTATTGATCGGAAACCGTTTTTACTTACACCATCAATGTGACCTTGACCTTTGACCCCTTGACCCCAAAATCAATAGGGGTCATCTGCTGGTCATGACCAATCACAATACCAAGTTTGAAGTTCCTAGGCCTAAGCGTTCTTTAGTTATTGATCGGAAACCGTTTTTACCTACAAGGTCAATGTGACCTTGACCTTTGACCCCTTGACCCCAAAATCAATAGGGGTCATCTGCTGGTCATGACCAATCACCATATCAAGTTTGAAGTTCCTAGGCCTAAGCATTCTTTAGTTATTGATCGGAAACCGTCTTTACCTACAAGGTCACTATTTTGCTTCAAGGTCATGCTGTGACCTTGACCTTCAAGGTAGCGACCCAAATGTTGTACGCGACACGTCGTCTAAATATGGTGATTATTTCTGTGAAACAGTTTTAAAATCCGACTTCAAATAACAAAGTTATGGGCTGGACATGAATTCGGGACGTACGTACGGATTGACTGACGGACGGACAACCTGACAACTATATGATCCCCCGAAATTTTTCGGGGAGCATAATAAAAATTATCAACCAAGGCTACTTGAGCTGTTGAGTTATTGGCCGAAAACCATTTTTATGTACAAGATCAATGTGACTTTGACCTTTGACCCTTAAATCAATAGGCGTTATCTACTGGCCTGTGAAGTTTGAAGGTATCATGAGTTGTCAAGATATTGATCAGAAGCCGTTTTTACTTTATGGTCAATGTGAAGTTGACCTCTGACCCCTTGACGCCAAAAAAAAAGTCATCTTCTGACCCAAACAATTCATCTGTGAATTTTAAAGGTCAAGAGTCCATGGGTTGTCGAGTTATTGACAGGAAACTGTTTTGACATACAAGGTTAATGTGACCTTAACCTTTGACCCCTGACCCCCAAAATCAATAGGGGTCATCTACTGGTCAAGACTATTGCGCCTATGCAGTGAGGGCCAAGAGCCCATTAGTTTTCAAGTTATTGATCCGAAACAGTTTTTAACTACAGGTCAATATGACCTTTGATTCCCTGACCCCAAATCAATAGGGGTCATCTACTGGCAAAGAGCAATGTACCTAAGAAGTTGGAGGGCCAAGGGCCCATGGGTTGTCAAGTTATTGATAAGAAACCGTTTTTTACCTATAAGGTTAATATGACTTTTACCTTTAACAAAATCCACAAAAGAGGTCACCTTCTTGCCAATACCAATGCATCTTTAAAGGAAGTTTGAAGTTTAAAGGTCAAAGTCCAATAAGTTGTTCAGCGTTTTTATATTTTTCTGGTCCTTCGGGATCACTGAGTCAGCACTTACGTGTTGAGAATTGAGTACTGCTCAAGCTGGTGCTAGGGGGTGTGAGGGAGGTTGCACTTTTTCATTATCTCTCATGTACAGACTCAATAAAACCAAGTCTGCAATTTTCATGTAATTTTGATTTTTTTAATTCTTCCGAGCAGATATTTATTAATTCGAAACCATTTTGACATTCAAGGTCAATTTGACCTTGACCTTTGAAACAAGAGCTGTTAGAGGACAGCAATGCTCGACTTTTTGATAGAGTTGTTGCAAGAATGTTTCATTGAGTATAAAAAGGGGCATAAATATGCAAATAAGTAAATCAGAGTAACGGGACCTGTGCCAATCATGTTAAAACTAGAAATGTGTCCATAGGACACAGGTGCCCCCACACGCCTCTGTTTTGTCAATCTTATGACTCTAGGTCAAATATTTTTTGGACTAGATGTGCCACAAGTTGAAAACTAACAAGCAATTATCATAGTATTGCAAGCAATCCATAAGTCCCCTACCGGTAAGAACCCCAGCAACATTCTGATGGGCCAATGGCCATTCAATTTTACCAGTGAATGAATGACATGAATGAACTTATATCTTTTGAGTTCTAAGTTTGTCTATATCACAGTAATGTGTTAAGTTTCCCTGCCTAGTAAGGAAATTATGTTTATACAACCTTGTCATATTATTACAATGTGGGATTTTAAAGTAATCCTATAAGGAATGAAGAAGGTGGAGTGAAAAATACCAATTTCTCGAAAAAAATCTAAGTTCAAAGGGGACATAATTCTGGAAATAGTCTTGCTAGAGTATTTAACCTTCTCAAAAATGTTAAGTGATAATAAGAAACATATATATGAAGTTTAAAGTAGATACATTAGGAAATAAAGAAGTTATTTAAAAATAATAAAGAAGTTATTTAAAAAAGACAACATTTTTTTTCATAAAAATTCTAAGTTCAAGGGAGGTAAAACTGATAATTTTTGTGCTAGAGTTGTAAACCTTGTCACATATGATGTGGTTGATGACCAGAAATTTATATTTAAAGTTTGAAGTAAACACCTTAAGAAGTAAAGAACTTATAGTGAAAAGGCTGTGAATTTAAATCAGAAATCTTGAAATTCAGGCTATTTGTTGCCATAGCAACCAGAATTTTCAACATAGGAAGAAAAAAAAAAGACGTGCATAATCTCCATACTGCCATCTATCCATATATCAAGTTTCATAAAAATATTTTCAGTACTTTTTGCGTTATCGGACGGACTGACGGACTGACAGACAGATGGACAGACGGACAGACAGACGGACGGAGGGTAAACCTAAAGTCCCCTCCGGTTAAACCGGTAGGGGACTAAAAATCTTTTACTAAGTAAAGGGCAAGAACTTTACCAATACTGAATAAATCCACAAGCAAAACCCAAGGTGCATAAATACACATGCTGTAAACTTTCAGGCCTACAAGTCAAATACTTTTTGAGCTATGCATGAACAAGTTGAAAATTATAAATTTATACTACTGTAAGTCAAGGGCAATAACTCTAACAAAACTGAAAAAAAACCACATGCAAAGTCCCAGGTTCATAGCTTCACAGTGATGTGAATCATTATTCCTGTAATTGAGTGATGTTGATAATTATTCCTATAAAGTTGATTGATTCTAACTCAAGCACTCAAGGAACAAATAACAACATTATGAAACGGTTTTTACTAAGTCAAGGGAAATAACTCTACAAATACTGGATAAATCCACAAGCAAAACCCCAGGTGCAAAACTAAATATGCTGAGCAACCTTCCTGTAAGGTTTAAAGACTCTATGTCAAATCCTTTTTGAGTTACATGCGACACAAGTTGAAAATTGCAAAAAAAATTTAAGTCAAGGGCAATAACTCTAAAAATACTAAAAATATCCACACGAAAATACCCAGGTGCACAACTACACATGCTGATCAACATTCCTGTAAAGTTCATGACTCTAGGTCAAATACTTTTTGAGTTACATGCGACACAAAAGAGAACGGACGGACGGACAATGGTAAATCTAAATGCCCGCCACTAAAGTGGGGGCACAAAAACTGAATTTCTATTTTTTGTAACAGTGACCTTGACCTTGATCACAGACACCTGGGTAGCAATCCTAAGCTGCCTCTTGATATAAGCTACCTACTTACCAAGTTTGGTGTTAACAGGCCAAAGCAATCTCAAGTTATTGAGCAAAAACTGAATTTCTATTTTTAGTAACAGTGACCTTGACCATGATCACAGACATCTGGGTAGCAATCCTAAGCTGCCTCTTGATATAAGCTACCTACTTACCAAGTTTGGTGTTAACAGGCCAAAGCAATCTCAAGTTATTGAGCAAAAACTGAATTTCTATTTTTAGTAACAGTGACCTTGACCTTGATCATAGACACCTAGGTAGCAATCCCAGAGCAAACTCAAGTTATTGTGCGGAAACCAAAAGTTGATGCCCACCCGCCCGCCTGCCGACTTCGGCATTACAATTACCGGTTTTGGTTGAAAACCTGGTTAAAAACTCACTTGCCCAGATGGAACGCCAAAGCTTAAGCCATTAACAGCATGGACTTCCTTACTACTTTCACAGTAGATCTATAAACAATTTAATAGTTATGTAAGATTTAAAAATTAAGATTAAACTACAAATCCTAAGCTATGTAGAAAACCCATATAAAAATGCATTTTTTTAAAGTAAGAATAAGCAAAGAAAGTTATTAAAAGATTTTATTAATATGTAACAAAAGTTAACCATTTCTTGAATAAAATAAAAAATAATTATCCAATAATTATCATTATGGTCTTAATGTGTACAAAACCATTAATCTTTATACAGATACAACTAAATGACTTTAATTTTATTACTACTATTTTCTGCCAATCTGACTTTGATTTTTCAAGATATGAAATTTCTTAAACAGGGCAAGTGTAAATGTTCAAATTTTGCAAGTTTAGCCCTTAATCTTGCCAGAACCAAAAGTAATTGGCCTTTGGAATCAGTACAAAGCAAGGCAATCAATCTGACCAGACTCTATACTGTTTGCCAACTAACTTTTGATTTTCATCTAGATACTCAAACAAGAGGGCCATGATGGCCCCGAGGTCGCTCACCTGTATATAGGCCCCCGGAGCGGGGCCAGTTTAAACTCCAGGGCTTTTATTTGAACAAACTTGGAAGACACCCATTAGAAAATGTTTCATGATGTTAAGTTTTTACTACACACATATAATGAAAAACAATGACCCCCCCTTTGGCAGGGCCAATTTTAACCCAAGGGCTTTTACTTGAACAAACTTGGTAGACACCCACAAAAGGTGTTTCCTGCTTAACAATCTAACCTCTAGCTCATTGGGTTTTTTAAAAGAAGATTTTTTAAGTTTTTACTATACACATATAGTTAAAAACAATGACACCTCTGGGGCGGGGCCAGTTTTAACCCCAGGGCTTTTATTTGAACAAACTTTGTAGACACTTACTAGAAGATGTTTCATGCTTAATATCTAAACTCTAGCTATTTGGGTTTTTTCAAAGAAGATTTTTAAGTTTTTGCCATTATAGTAACATATAAGGAAAATCAATGACCCCCGGGGCAGGGCCAATTTTGACCCCAGGGCTTTTATTTGAACAAACTTTGTAGACACTCACTAGAAGATGTTTCATGCTTAATATCTAAACTCTAGCTATTTGGGTTTTTTCAAAGAAGATTTTTTAAGTTTTTGCTATACACATATAAGGAAAATCAATGACCCCCGGGGCGGGGCCAATTTGGACCCCAGGGCTTTTATTTGAACAAACTTTGTAGACACCCATTAGAACATGTTTCATGCTAAATATCTTAGCTCTAGCTCTATATGTTCTTTAAAAGAAGATTTTTTAAGTTTTTACAATATGCATATAGGGAAAATCAATCACCCCCTGGGGCGGGCCAATTTTGATCCCAGGCCTTTTATTTGAACAAACTTGGTAGACACTTATTAGAAGATGTTTCATGCTAAATATCTTAGCTCTAGCTCTATGGGTTTTTTAAAAGAAGATATTTAAAGTTTTTTCTTTTGGTTGCCATGGCAACCAGAGTTCTGCATGGAATTAAATTCTTTGAACAATTTTTAAAGGTGACCACCAAAGGAACATTCCTGTGAAGTTTGGATGAAATTGGCTTAGTGGTTTATGAGGAGATGTCATTTAAAGTAAAAGTTTACGGACGTACGCCGGACGGACGTCGGACGAAAAGCTCACCCTGTCACTTTGTGACAGGTAAGCTAAAAACTGAAAATGGATGTTACCAAATTTGGAATCTGGAAGTCTGTTGAATTCAGCAGGATAATGGTAAGGGTTAAACAAATTTCACGATTTTTTTTTACCTTGTGAAGATTGCGGACCACCACAGCATCTGACCGACAATCTCCGGTATCAATTCTCCGCCCTTCAGCTGTGACATCATAGTCTTCACTATTACTCTCCTTTACACTACACTCATATGTTCTAGAAAAGTCATGCAGAATTGTTATTTACCAAACATTTTGTTATACTTTATTGAACAAATTAATATAATTAATGCTGTTAGTATAGTTTTGTTTTTTAAAAATCTTTGAAAACATAGTACAAAATGCAAACACATTTGCTTAATTTCTTCACTTGGTATTTCAATATCATGTTTGAAAGTAACATATTACAAAAATCAATTTTATGGCTATACCAAAAGGAAAACTGAGACAGCCTTTTCAGATCATGTCAAAACTATCCAACTGTACATGTACTATGATAGTTGTTTCTAAAGCAACAGTCACATGTCTTGCACAACTAAACCTACCTCTTACAGCAAAACCTCATGTCCAACCAGACGGTCAGTACGAAAAAGATGCAACCTTCAACCCCCATTGCGAACAAGTGCCAACCAATCATGAAGGGATTCTCATATACATCTGTATTAAATCTCGCATACATGACGGTTTTGATTTGGTTATCAATCAAGTCGAGAAGGCCACCACCGAGGGCATATGGTGGGAAAACCAGGAAGATGTATCTCATTGCATCATAAGCATCCTTCATTCTCTGTATAGAATATATGATAAAATCAATTATATTTAATTGTTCCTTGAAACAATTTAGTCTTTTCTTTTACAGAGTGAGATGACTATACACTTCAAGACATTTAAGAAATAATTTCATAAAAACAAGAGCTGTCGGTAGGACAGCATGCTCGACTATTCTAAGTGCTTGATAGTAAAAGAGCCTTGATAATGTTAAATTTTTTAAGTTCACAAAAGGGCTAATTTTTTTTTTATAAATTCATGTTATAGGCCTTAGAGAGAGTCTAATTATACAGTATTGGCTTGACTATTCGGAAGATAATGTCACAAGGGTGTTTTATTGAGTATAATAACACTAATTACCTATGAATACATAAATTTGACAGAAAAGGTACAAAGGCTTGTTATTAAGATGTTTTATCAAGTAAATCACTGCTTTATTATTATGAATGCATAAAATTGTCCCAAAAAAGGCACAAACCATTCAGTAGTTATTGAGATAACAGCTTACAAGCAAAACTTTACCATGAATTTCTAAGTTGAAAAAGGGGAGAAAAATCAGCCTAAATGCAAGATAGAATTATGGATCTTGGTCAGTGACCTACAATTATGACCCTAAATGCATATGTGAAGTTTTAAATAAATATCTTTAATAGTTATTGAGATATGTAAAACTTGCATGTAAACATTAACCAAGAGACTAAGTAGAAAAGATGATATGAATCAGCCTTAATGCAAGATAGAGTTATGGAACTTGGTCAGTGACATACAATTATAACCCTCCAATTATGACCCTAAGTGCATGTGTAAAGTTTCAAGTAAATATCTTTGAAGACCTTTAACCTTTAACAAAAATTTCTAAGTTTCAAAGGGGCAAATAATTCTGCAAATATTGCAGGCAGAGTTATGCAATTTTGCAAACTGATGTACATTGTTACTATAAAAAAGTATTTTAAATTTCAATTGAATATCTCTAGCAATAATTGAGATATTTGACTTTACAAAAAAACTTGAACCAAAATTTCTAAGTTCCAAAGGGGCATAATTCTGTCAATATTGTAGGCAGAGTTATCCAACTTGTCAATCAGATGTACCTTGTTACTATAAATAAGTATTGTTAGTTTCAATTGAATATCTCAAGTAATAATTGAGATATTTGACTTGACAAAAAACTTTAACCAACGCAGACGCGGACGCCGACGCCGGGGCAACTACAATAGCTCTCATATTCTTCGAATAGTCGAGCTAAAAATGATCACAGTAGTTTCATTAAAATGATCACTGTTGTTTCATTAAAAAAATCACTGCAGTAAAGGATTTTTTTTTTTAAATTCTCATTTATAGTGCTCAACTCAACTGCTATATAAAGTTGTACTCACTACTATACAGTTCTGCATAATAAATCACAGTGAACACAGTATACTAATGTTCTTACCTTGTTATCACTTCCAGATGTGAAATAGTTGAAGGAGAATACCATAAGAATACAGAAAATTCCCACAAATAAAAGGCTACAGAAAACTGTAAAGAAAGCTGTTCCGGAATTCTGGAACCTCTTCACAAGAAAATATGCAAATGTCATGGTCGCCCATCTGTAAAATGAAAGATTGTAAAATGAAAGATTTTTTTTTTTAAATACATGAATACAGATGTCAGAAATACATATACAAAAGTACACATTAACAATGATTAATTTTGTCCAAAGTAATACAGTGAAATATGTAAGTAAATAGGTATTTGAATTATCATTAAAACAACTAGAAAATATGAATTTAATAAAAATATTATGAGGTATACATTGTTGAGTACAATGACATCTATTGGACAAGTACCCAACTGACAAACCTATATTGGACATGTTCATTAATACTAGCAGAGTAAATAACAATAATATAACGTGGATGATTTTTGTTTCTTCTAGAATATAGTTATTTAATTCATAGAACATCAAATACAAACAAGATATGTTTGTAAAACATGTATACCCCCTATCGGCAGCCAATTAGTCATGTGATCAGGTTATTATGCATGACTTCTGACCCAGTGAACAAACAATTAATAAGGGTTATCTAGTATCTACTGGTCATGACTAGTCACAAGGTAATAATTATTGTGACCCCATAGGTTGTGTGCAGCAATTTAAGTTATTACAAATCTTACCAAATAATATATGCATAAACTTTATGAATCATGTAGGCCTCATTAATGACAGCCAAGTTGTTATATTACATAAGACCTTCAAATGTGTATACCAAAAGCATTTTTAGTTTAATATAAAAATATTAACCAAGGCAACTTGAGTTGTTGAGTTATTGGTCAGAAACCATCATTAAGTACAAGGTCAATATGACATTGACCCCTTGACCCTAAAATCAATAGGGGTCATCTACTGGTCATGACCAATCATCATACCAAGTTTGAAGTTTCTTGCCTAATAGTTCTTTAGTTATTGATCAGAAACCATTTTTACGTACAAGGTCAATATGACCTTGACCTTTGACCCCTTGACCCCAAAATCAAAAGGGGTCATCTGCTGGTCATTACCAATCATCATACCAAGTTTGAAGTTTCTAGGCATAAACGTTCTTAAGTTATTGATTGGAAACCGTTTCACCTACAAGGTCAATGTGACCTTGACCTTTGACCCCAAAATCAATAGGGGTCATCTGCTGGTCATGACCAATCACCATACCAAGTTTGAAGTTCCTAGGCCTAAGCGTTCTTTATTGATCGGCAACCGTTTTTACCTACAAGGTCAATGTGACCTTGACCTTTCACCCCTTGACCCCAAAATCAATAGGGGTCATCTGCTGGTCATGACCAATCACCATACGAAGTTTGAAGTTCCTAGGCCTAAGGGTTCTTTAGTTATTGGTCGGAAACCGTTTTTACCTACAAGGTCAATGTGACCTTGACCTTTGACCCCTTGACCCCAAAATCAATAGGGGTCATCTACTGGTCATGACCAATCACCATACCGAGTTTGATGTTCCTAGGCCTAAGGGTTCTTTAGTTATCACTCGGAAACCATTTGGTCTACGGACTGATGGACAGACAGAGAGACAAATGTAAAGCAATATACCCCCTCTTCTTTGAAGTGGGGGCATAATGAAAACATTTTGGATCACAGCTGTCAGTACTTACCCATACAAGAGTAACAGGTATACAGTTGCTTCAAGATTCTGTTTGCCCCAGAATGAGCCTGGTTTGAAAATAAGTAGAATAATCACTGAAAATCCCACAGCAACTCCAAGCACAAGCTGTAAAATATGAAATTTACACAGAATGAACTATAATTATGTCACATGTCTAAATGAAGAAGTTGCAGATTCAAACATTATGAATAAGGGAAGAAATGTACTGGTACATTGTTTAACAAATAACAAAGTCCTTTTCTACAGGCATCTGATATGAAAGAAGGAAATGAGGTTTGTATATAAACAAGAAATGTTAAACAACACATATGTCCCCCTTTTTAGCCCTGGACTCACATAATTGGTAGTTTTGTTATAGAAATTTGCCATAATTGGGTACACTGAAGTGTTCAATTATGGAAAAAAGAAAAATAATGAAGACTTTGTGATAAATAGTTTTCAAGATAATGAGACATATAAGACCCCTGTGACCTAGACCTTTGAACTAGTGACCCAAAATCAATAGGGGTCATCTACTAGTTATGACCAAATAATATGTGAAATATGAAGACTTTGTGATAAATAGTAACCAAGATAATAAGCCAAAATCATATTACTATTCAAGGCCCCTGTCACCTTGACTTATGACCTAGTGACCTCAAAATCAATTGGGGTCATCTACTAGTTATGACCAATCAATATGTGAAATATGAAGACTTTGTGATAAATTGTGACCAAAATAATGAGCAGAAACCATTATGACATTTAAAGCCCATGTGACCTTGACATTTGAGCCCAAAATCAATAGGGTTCATCTACTTGTTATGATTAATCAATATGTGAAATATGAAAACTTTGTGATGAATACTTTTCAAGATAATCAGCGGAAACCATTCTGACATATAAGACCCCTGTGACCTTGACCTTTGACCAAGTGACCCCAAAATCAATAGGGGTCATCTACTAGTAATGACCAATCAGTATGTGAAATATGACGACTTGAGATCATTGATAATAATGTGAAATATGACTTTTCAAGATAATCAGCGGAAACCGTTTTAGCAAAACAATACATGTATACTACCTCTTGTTAGAAGGGGGGCATAATGAACAAAGATACACCTAAACAAGAGACTGATTTGTATGAATTCTAACTAAATTAAACAATGGAAATGTGATCACTGTATGTCTGAAGAGAGATTTTCAAAGTTGAATAAATTCAGGAATGAATTGTTAAAGTAAACTTATGTAAGACTAGAAATGTGTCCATAGGACACAGGTGCCCCCACCGCACCACTGTTCTGTCAATCTTATGACTCTGGGTCAAATATTTTTTGAAAACTAAAAATCTTAAAGGGCGAGAACTTTACAAATACTGAATAAATCCACAAGCAAACCCCAAGGTGCATAAATACACATGCTGACCAACATTCTTGTAAACTTTCAGGCCTACAAATCAAATACTTTTTGACATATGCATGAACAAGTTGAAAAATTGCAAATTTATACAACTGTAAGTCAAGGGCAATAACTCTAAAAAAACTGAAAAAAAAAATCCACATGCAAAGTCCCAGGTGCATAGCTTCACAGTGATGTGAATCATTATTCCTGTAATTTAGTGATGTTGATCATTATTCCTGTAAAGTTCGTTGATTCTAACTCAAGCACTCAAGGAACAAATAACAACATAATGAAATGATTTTACTAAGTCAAGGGAAATAACTCTACAAATACTGGATAAATCCACAAGCGAAACCCCAGGTGCAAAACTAAATATGCTGAGCAACCTTCCCGTAAGGTTTAATGACTCTAGGTCAAATCCTTTTTGAATTACATGCGACACAAGTTGAAAACTGCAAAAATTTATACTTCAAGGGCAATAATTCTAAAAATACTAAAAATATCCAGATGAAAATACCCAGGTGCACAACTACACATGCTGATCAACATTTCTGTAAAGTTTCATGACTCTAGGTCAAATAATTTTTGAGTTAAGTGCGACAAAATTTGAAAATTGCAAAATTTTACTAAGTCAAGGGCAATAACTCTAAAAATACTAAAAATATCCAGACGAAAATACACAGGTGCACAACTACACATGCTGATCAACATTCCTGTAAAGTTTCATGACTCTAGGTCAAACACTTTTTGAGTTACGTGTGACACAAAAAGAGAACGGACAGATAGACGGACAGAAGGACGACGGACGGACAAGGGTAGATCTAAATGCTCGCCACTAAAGTGGGGGCACAAAAATCTTACCATGTCCCATATTAATGAAGACGTCCAGTATGTGAACAAGCTGATACCTCCTATAAACTGCATGTGTTTTTCCTTGTTGATATTTTCATTAACCGAGTACAGTAACACTCCGACCGAATGAATGTGAATGCAACAAGAATAATCACTGCAATACCCATGTCAGCCGCATGTTGTAATCTGAAATATTCAGTTTAAACTTGTTACCTTATTTGATTCATGTTTAGGTTATAATATACAGTCAGACTTGAGCTAATTGTCATTTCTAAAAATCTGCTGTCTGCCAAAAACAGTTGTCACAGTTCCCCTTCCTACTCACACCCCCACTAACACTTCAGAAACAAATGAAATCTATATTATAAGCATGCTGCTAGCAGCCATTTAAAAGTGTTTCCAAGATCTAATTCTGACCTAAAATAATGGTTAATGTATAATTATTGTCAACATTTAAAAGGAATGAAAATACAACTATTATAATGTATTTAATACACTAGTGTCTATGTTTATGGATTGAGAATTTTTTTCCATAGCTTAAAACAGTTTAAATAAGATTAAGAAACAATTTGAATCAATCAGTGACAGGGATGTGGCTATAATAACACTATTACACAATCATCACAATACTTACATGGAAGTTTTTGACAGATGCTCTCGGCCAAACAAAAATGGATGATTGTATGCACTGATTCCTAAAACAAAAATGTACATTGAATAAGTATAATGCATATATAAGTGTAACTGCATAATGAATGGTTTATAAGATACTTATTACATGTACCATTCATTGCAAGACCTGATCACGTAAAAAATAAAATGACCTCAAAGTTAATTTTTTTTAACGAAACATGCTTAGTAATATGCTCCAACTACCATTGATTACTACAGAAATATCTTTGTATCAATATAAAATTTGACTCATGATAATTATGAAAAACAACAATTGGAGAGGAGACTTATACTCATTTTCATTTCAGATCTAAAACTTGTTGCATAGCAACAAAGGGTGTGATCACCATTTGCAGGTGATATTAATTTAAAGATGACCTATTATTTGTTAATGTTACTGTTTTATTTTGGGGCCTCAGATTCATCATTTACTAGAGCTCTCAGCAGGCCGTTACTATAAGCGTTAAAGAATGATGGTAGCGTGTGATATCCCTTGTTATAATACCAGATTTTGGCCTTTAAGTTTGCATTTGCCTCTTTGCTTTCATCTTCAAATGACCATCCACCATATCTGAAATGATCAAAATCATAAGAAAATTGATCATGAAATATATGTCACAAAAACTACAATCATAATGAAAAGTAATCAATGAGGTTCATTTGCATATTCTTGGGTTAAATAAAGTGAACATTTAACTTCTAAAAAAGAATCATAACCATCTAACATGATAAAAGTACACAGCCTGCAAACAATTTTCCGCTGCACTAATTCTTTTAGAGCTAGCGGCCATCATAAAAGACTATTGCGATCAGTAAACAGTCATGCCATCCCTGCATTCTGACGAGACTTTTGGCTGTTCAATTCTTACATTTCATTATTAAAATCTCTCATACTGGTAATGGACGGTTCCAAATTCAAAGCCGGACAAGTCCATTTAGTCAATGCCAGCAGCATCAGGATAATACATCTTTAAATAAAAAATTATAAAAATTAAAATTCAGTATATCTACCTTTTGCCAATAAATTCAGGGAAACTGTCAAGTAGGTATTTGTTAATATCTCTATTGTTCAAATTCTGTAGTATTTCTGTTGTCGTGGTTACTCGCTGTGGTGGGGGTGCACCGTAAGGAGACCCTTCACACTTGTATTCATCGTCCTGGCAGAAGCAACGTCCGTCTGCTGATGCATTATGGGGAGGTACAGAGAATTTTGATGCAGGTGTTACACATTTATAAGGATATCTGCAATAATAAAACAATTTAATAAATACAACAGTTTTATATACAAATAAATTGCACTTTTGCTAGATAACAGTTATTTTTAAATATACTGTACTCCTCTTAGGTCACGGTACTTAACACTTTAAAACAGTAAAGAACACAAACGATAAACTTACACTACAAAAACCGTCATAAACTGTATCATTTAGTCATTTTTCTGCTATATGACACAAGGAAACAACAATATATTCAATCAAAATTAGTTTTAATTTGTCAGATGTAAACCGTGTGTCGGCCATTTTGAAAACAGTATGTCATCATTTACCTCGCGGTAATGGTGTTTTATTTCAGTTTTTTCATGTTTCAGTTAAATTGTCTTTAAGTAATTTTTCATAATTTTAAATATTAAAAGTATCTTTACATTGTAACTCAAAATTTATTTTTTCAACACACAAGAACATTTAGAAAATGATGATTGTTTCAGACGTATGCACAAATTTAATGGACTATTGTTGTTTTTTTGCAGAAGTTTGTAAAATGTTGTTCAGTTTTACGTAAAATTCTATAGATTTAAATTATTTTGCACAAAAACTTTGTTGTTAAGGTGTTTGAATAAAATATGTCAATTCTGACCAATTATAACAATGGTCACATGAAAATATGCCATTACCGTGAGATAAGTGATGACGCGGAATTAGTGATGTTGAGTATACTAGTAATACATGTAGTTGCCAGAGTTTCACAGATTTTTCAAAGTACAATTGCTAAGTATTTGTGAGAAACAATACAATTTGTTTATATATATTTCATGCAAACAACCAATATTATATGTTTCATTTTCCAAATTTTACAATTACATGTTTCTTGCCTTAAATCATGCATTATCTACAATTACTGATCCCCTACCAATAACACTTACTGATGCTGCAAGACAGTATGGCATCTAATAAAATACTTACCCAAGATTTACATCAGCCATACAAGATGTTCCAATTCCTGGGTCTACCATAAACGTTTCTAATACTTCGTCACCAAGAGTAAATCGTGTAGAATTTTGTCTGAAATAATCAATTTCGAGGAAATGTCTTAAATCACATTAATCTTATATCTCAGGGAAAATTTAATCTGAGTGAAATGTAATTTGTGAATCAAATCAATATACAGAATAAGTGGACATGAGACATTTATTATTAGCAGATGAGTCATATTCTTTCATACATTCTTTAAAAAATCACTTAAATTTTCATATTGACAGAAAATATAATTAAAGAATGTTACATATCAAATAACAAATAAATTTATGTGATATTAAAAAAAACAAGAGCCACTGCCGGGCGGGGGCAACGCTCGACTTTTTACTTTCTCTAAAAGCAAACAAAGAAATGTTTGAACAAAATCTTAATGTTTCCTTTTTATAAAATTAATTGGTCTGTCATGTCACAATAGTTTTGTCTATATATTTTGTATATATAAAAATTCTATAAATAGAAACACACAATTCTATAAATAGAAAATTCTATAAATAGATACACGTGGTGGAGTCACTTGGTGACACCTGGTGGTGTCATGGGTGGTGGTGTCACGTGGTGGAGTCATGTGGTGGAGTCATGTGTTGGTGTCATGTGCTGGTGTCATGTGGTGGTGTCACATGGTGTTGTCACGTGGTGAAGTCATGTGGTGGTGTCACGTGGTGTCACATGGTGAAGTCAGGATTAACAACAAGGTCTTTTCCTTAAGTATGTTCTGTTATAATATTCAATAATAGCAAAGTTACAGTTACAGTCAAAACAATGAAAATTTCAATAATTTGAACTTCAAAGTCAAGGTCATTAATGTGTGAAGGTCAAGGTCTGTCTGGTTATTTTTAAGGGTTATCCTTGAAGATTATTATGTTCAAATTTGAAGACAATCCATTCAAAAATAACAAAGTTACAGCCAATAATAGCTAAAAATATGAAAATTTCAATAATTTGACCTTCAAAGTCAAGGTCATTTATGAGTGAAGGTCAAGGTCTGTTTGGTTATTTTTAAGGGATATCCTTGAAGATTATTATGTTCAAGTTTGAAGACAATCCATTCAAAAATAACAAAGTTACAGACAATAACAGCATGAACAAGCAAAATTTGGACTTTTAACCTTGAAGGTCAAGGTCATTTATGGTTGAAGGTCAAGGTAAGTGTAGTCTACTGAAAGGTCTTGTACCAAGGGTTGTTGTGGCCAAGTATAAAGACAATACATCAAGAAATAAACAAGACGATCAGTGATCACATGTGTCGCCTCATGATGGCCAATTTCATGTTGGGACAAGTTTTGTGACAGACGGACAGACAGACAGACAGTGCACAACTAGACTTGGTACTGATCATTCTTGTAAAGTTTAGATAAAATTGCACCAGTAGTTTTGAAAGGTCTTGTACCAAGGGTTGTTGTGGCCAAGTATGAAGACAATACACCAAGAAATAAAAAAGTTATGATCCAGGTACACGTTTGCGGACGGCAACGGCAATGCCGCCGAGACTATAGCAATACCTCTACTCTTTTTTTAAAAAAAAAGAGTCAAGCTAACAAGAACGTGTTTGTTAAACACAAATGGCCCCGGCTAAGATTCTTGTCAGTAACAATATTTAAAATAAAGGCTGTATGGGCAAAAGTGTAAAAAATCTATTTTTAGCACTGGCGACCTTGACCCAACTTCATCCAAAGGAAGAATATCATGCAACTTATTTTCCTACCAAATATGAAATAAATCTGTCAATATATAAAGGCTGTATGGGCAAAGTGTAAAAATCGATTTTTAGCACTGTTGACCTTGACCCACTGCACACCTACTCAATAAGATCTATCTACCTACAAAGTTATATGTTGATACCTCTTATACATTTAGAGTTATGTCCCGGACAAAGTTCAAAGTGTAAAAATAAACAAAAGGGGATAATTCAAAAATTAGGCAAGGCAGAGTTACGGTTCTTGTGCACTGCACACCTACCAAATGAGATCTATCTACCTACAAAGTTTCATGTTGATACCTCTTATACTTTTAGAGTTATGTCCCAGACAAAGTTCAAAGTGTAAAAATAAACAAAGGGGAATAATTCAAAAATTAGGCAAGGCAGAGTTACGGTTCATGTGCACTGCACACCTACTCAATGAGATCTATCTACCTACAAAGTTTCATGTTGATACCTCTTGTTGTTTCAAAGTTATGTCCCGGACAAGAAAAGCGGATGGACGGACCAACGGACGGACATCCGGCCGAAATGGAATAAGGGGCCATTTCTTTTGTTATTTTCTATTGTTTAATAGAGGGCCAATGGCCCCTTACTCTATTGTTACGGAATGAACTCTATTGTTCTCTTTTGTTCTGTTTACAGTTAGATGGCCCCCTATCCTTATTCGGTAGTGCGGATGGACGGACGGACGGACAAGGCGGCGACTATATACTCCCCCCAAATTTTTCGGAGAGCATAAAAAATCCAACTTGCCGTTCTAGGTTAACCTCGTACGGACAGATGGACGGACGGTTCAAGTACTATATGCCCGGGGGCATAAAAAAGAAGTCCTCCCCCCCAAAAACTCTACAATATGTGCCTATCTCATTTACTATTTCATTAATACACTCCCTTAAATCTAAAATAGTTCTACAGTGGTCTAAACACAGGGTTATTAGGTTTGTAAGTCAAAGCCAAAGTTCATAATTTGAATCTCAACATGTGCAGCATTTTTATAGGGATTATTATGTTTGTAACAATATAACCAACTCTTGATCTGTACTTACTGCATGAAGGTGTACATATCTGGGCTGTACATGCCAGGAGAGAGGAGTCGGCTCGGAGCGGACGTCGAGTAGGGTTTTTCTTTTGTACAGTCCCAATGCCAGCAAGAACAACAGGAGAGGCAATATCAATGTGGTAATAACAATACGCCATTCTCGACGATAATGATGAAAAAATTTCGTTAAAAGTGCGAGCATTCCATCGCCTGATCTTGATGATTGTTGGCTAAATTTGTTCTACTTCCACTAGACGCTAAAATATTTAAACAAACTATTTTATCACTTTAATATATAGATTGATTCTGAAAATCTGATAACATGCATAATTTTAAAGCAGCACGCCTCCAGATTCATGTTTATTTCATGAAAATTTTGGAAATGTATTTAAAAGTAAATTATTGTAAGTTGAACAAATAAAGTAATTTACATATTGCAATCGGCACTTGCAATCCACGAAAATTAACAACAAGAACTGTCGGAGGACAGTAACGCTTGACTATTTGAAAAGTTGTCACAAGGGTGTTTCATTGAGTATAATAATGCTTACCTATATGAATACATAAAATTGTCCGAAAAGGTACAAACCCTTCAGTAGTTATGGAGATGCCAGCTTACACGCAAAAAATTACCTATAATTCCTAAGTCGAAAAAGGGGCATAATTATGCAAAAAAGTAAATCAGAGTTATGGGACTTGTGCCAATCATCTTAGATAATCACAGAGAACAAGTGTGTGAAGTTTCTATCCATTCCCTTCAGTAGTTATGGAGATACCAGCTTACACGCAAAAACTTAACCAAGAATTTCTAAGTCAAAAAAGGGGCGTTATTATGTAAAAAAGCAAACAGAGTTATGGGACTTGTGCCAATCATCTAAGATAATCACAGAGAACAAGTGTGTAAAGTTTCAATCCATTCCCTTCAGTAGTTATGGAGATACCACCTTACACGCAAAAACTTAACCAAGAATTTCTAAGTTGAAAAAGGGGCGTAATTATGTAAAAAAAGCAAACAGAGTTATGGACTTGTGCCAATCATCTAAGATAATCACAGAGAACAAGTGTGTGAAGTTTCAATCCATTCCCTTCAGTAGTTATGGAGAAACCACCTTACACGCAAAAACTTAACCAAGAATTTCTAAGTTGAAAAAGGGGCGTAATTATGTAAAAAAGCAAACAGAGTTATGGGACTTGTGCCAATCATCTAAGATAATCACAGAGAACAAGTGTGTGAAGTTTCAATCCATTCCCTTCAGTAGTTATGGAAATACCACCTTACACGCAAAAACTTAACCAAGAATTTCTAAGTTGAAAAAGGGGCATAATTATGTAAAAAAGCATATCAGAGATATGGGACTTGTGCCAATCATCTTCTATAATCACAGAGAACAAGTGTGTGAAGTTTCAATCCATTCCTTTCAGTAGTTATGGAGCTACCAGCTTACATGCAAAAACTTAACCACAGGGACGCCGATGCCGACAAATGGGTGACTGCATTAGCTTGATTATTCTGGTCAAGATATGCAAAAACAGCCCTTAATTTACTGTGTTAGTAACACAGTAGAAATATGGTGATAAAATACTGTAAAATCAGTCAAAATCACTTCACAATACAACTTATAAATACATTTTCAAAATTTTCATGAAAATTAGAATGAATCTAGAGGCATGCTGTTTTAAGCTGAGAAATCACATATACATGTTCATGTATTTAAGTTTATCATATAAGAAATAATGTGAAACCAAGTATATTACCAGTATTCATTTAATAAAAAAAACACAAACTTTTGTTGCAAATAAAAATAAGGTTATCTTTACCTGAGCTTTCAAAGTCATGTTTCCATTCATCCTTAGAGTTAGCATTTGCAGCATTTGTCTCCTTCTTCTATATGTCTCAACATCTCAGGTGTAATCTTCCTGCCAATATCAGCAGCTGAACACACCTTCAAAAATACCTGGTTAAACAAAAACAACAAGGATTGTTTATAAAATACATGTACTTAGTAAATATACTAGTAAATTAGTATGCATTAAAACAAGCCATGAAGATTTCATTACTTATGGTTAATATATTATAATATTAAACATAGTTATTGGCACAACTACACAATCATGCTGACCAACATTTCTGCAAAGTTTCATGACTATAGGTCAAATAATTTTTGGGCTACCCACAAGTTGAAAATTGCAAAAATTTTACTAAGTCAAGGGCAAAAACTCTACAAATACTGAATAAATCTACAAGCAAACCCCAAGGTAGGATCCTCAAAATGTGAGGTTGACTCTCATAATTCCACCACTTATGCCTTTATTTGATTACTCTGATATAATTTCTTAAATCTAGAGCATCTTTATCTTACCTGCATTTTACAGTAAGGAAGACAACATAATATCTTCATGAAAACACTTATACATGTAGATAGGAGGAAATACATGAATACATTTACAGTGTTAGCATTCTACATGACTGTGTAATTGTTTGTCTATGTCAGCAGAACTGACCCAAACCAACATTTTTTCACACAAGATTCCCTTTTAGTTCAATTTTATCATGTAATCTTTTGGTAATATGATTTCAGATTAGATGTATATTAATAAAAGAACATTTAAATAACATAAACTATCCATACAACAGTCAAATTAGGTCACTGACACATACCTCTTCCAAATGTGGGTCTGATATGCCATAACTGACAATACCCAGGGATTGAACTTGTGCCTCCAAGTCTTGGAAGAGACTGTAGAAGTCAGCATCTTTATCTGTGGGTAAGACAAAGGTCATTTCTGTTCCAGCAGATGCATGAAGCCTGGTTCCAGGCAACCATCTTCTCAACATAGTTATTCTGTATCTACAATAAATATTAAATAAACAAAATAACATTAAGAATGTTTATTTATACTGTATAACTATGGCAGTAATATTTTGAGGAAACTAGAAATGTGTCATCATGCCACGGATGCCCCCGCATGCAGCCAAAATTTCAAATGTTATAATATTTAGTTCCAAATTTGTTTGCACAAATTATTTTTTTAATTCTATGTTCAAAGCCCTTAAAACTTTTCAATGTTAACACAAACCATTTTTATACAATGTTCAAGGCACTGAAATTATTCAGTCTTAACCTTTTGAAAATAGCATATTGCATATTTGTAGCCAAAATAATGACTATATACATTTCCACAAAAGTATGAGTGCTGAAACTGAAAGTTCAAAATTTTTGCAACATTCAGGAAAGATAAGTTTGTCCAAAATCATTGAACAACGACCAAATTCCAACTTAAACTGCTTATTCCTAAGATGTATCTATATTATTTTCAAAGTGAAAGGGACATAACTCTGCCAAAAAATCATCGAACCGTGACCAAATTCCAACTTGACCTGCGCATTCCTTTGACATATCCATATGTCAATTTTGAGTTGAATATGTAACACTGTTGGGTTGATAATGAACAGAAACTGTAAATTTCATATCATTTTCAAAGTGAAAGGGGCATTACTCTGCCAAAAATCATTAAACCATGACCAAATTCGAACTTGGCCTCAAATTCCAAAAATATATCCATATGTCAAATTTGAGTTGAATGTGTAATACTGTTGGGGAGATAATAAACGGAAACTGAAAATTTCATATTATTTTTAAAGTGAAGCGGCATAACTCTGCCAAAAATCATCAAACTATGACCAAATTTGAACTTGACCTGTATTTTCTCATAACATATGCATATGTCAAGTTTGAGTTGAATGTGTTGTACTGTTGGGGAGATAATGAATGGAAACTGAAAATTTCATATTATTTTCAAAGTAAAAGGGGCATAACTCTGCCAAAAATCATCAAACCATGACTAATTTCGAACTTGACCTGTATTTTCTCATGACATATCTATATGTCAAATTTGAGTTCAATAGGTGCAACGGTTATTAAGATAATGAACGGAAACTGATGATGACGGAAGGACGGAATGACGGAATGAAGGAATGACGCAACAGGGTAACACTATATGCCCTTGCCATTATATGGCGGGGGCATAAATATAAAAGGAATATTTTGATGACTGAACACAACACTGGCCTAACTTGATTCTTACAAAATTTAAAGGTTCATAGCCTTTGCATAGAGAAATAATTATAATTCCTTCAGTTTTCTTTAAACAGTCTCATGCATTATTCAAATGTTAACACAATCAACTTCAGTGATACAATCCATCAGAATAACACTTTGTGATACCAGATATTAATACTAAATCATACATTTAATTTCTCTATCACAAACCTGTAAGAGCACAATAATCATTATGCCTCAGAAACAAATAATTTATTTACTTCTTTAGAAAGGGCAAACATATTTTTTTACATTTAAATAATGGTTTTAGAGAACATTAGATGCTTGTTACCTGAAGAAAGTAGTGATACACATGTAAAATAATGTGTCATACAAATAGCAAAATATAAGCAAAGTAGTATACAAACAAGAGCTGTCAGTAGGACAGCATGCTCGACTATTCTAAGTGCTTGATAGTAAAAGAGCCTTCATAGTGTTAAATTTTTTAAGTTCACTAAAGGGCCAATTTTTTTTTATAAATTCATGTTATAGGCCAATCATACAGTATTGGCTTGACTATTCGGAAGGTAATGTCACAAGGGTGTTTTATTGAGTATAATAATACTAATAACCTATGAATACATAAATTTGACAGAAAAGGTACAAAGGCTTGTTATTAAGATGTTTTATCAAGTAAATCACTGCTTTATTATTATGAATGCATAAAATTGTCCCAAAAAGGCACAAACCCTTCAGTAGTTATTGAGATAACAGCTTACAAGCAAAACTTTACCATGAATTTCTAAGTTGAAAAAGGGGAGAAAAATCAGCCTAAATGCAAGATAGAATTATGGATCTTTGTCAGTGACCTACAATTATGACCCTAAATGCATATGTGAAGTTTTAAATAAATATCTTTAATAGTTATTGAGATATGTAAAACTTGCATGTAAACATTAACCAAGAGACTAAGTAGAAAAGGGAATATGAATCAGCCTTAATGCAAGATAGAGTTATGGAACTTGGTCAGTGACATACAATTATGACCCTCCAATTATGACCCTAAGTGCATGTGTAAAGTTTCAAGTAAATATCTTTGAAGACCTTTAACCTTTAACCAAAATTTCTAACTTTCAAAGGGGCAAATAATTCTGCAAATTTTGCAGACAGAGTTATGCAATTTTGCAAACTGATGTACATTGTTACTATAAAAAAGTATTTTAAATTTCAATTGAATATCTCAAGCAATAATTGAGATATTTGACTTTATAAAAATACTTTAACCAAAATTTCTAAGTTCCAAAGGGGCATAATTCTGTCAATATTGTAGGCAGAGTTATCCAACTTGTCAATCTGATGTACCTTGTTACTATAAATAAGTATTGTAAGTTTCAATTGAATATCTCAAGCAATAATTGAGATATTTGACTTTACAAAAAACTTTAACCAAAATTTCTAAGTTAAAAAGGGGCATAATTCTGTCAATATTGTAGGCAGAGTTATCCAACTTGTCAATCTGATGTACCTTGTTACTATAAATAAAGTACAGTCGACTCTCGTTATCTCGAAGTCATTGGGACCGTCCAAAAAATATCGAGATAACGAAATGTCGAGATAAACATATTAGGGTTAGAACAAGGCGAAACTGATTTATACAAAAGACATGTGCATACCTTATGTCAAATAAACTATAATATCCCAATGTCTTGTTTTCATAGGCCTAGTCAATATTTAACAAAGTAACATAAGCGGATGTTTACCAGCGGAAATACGGGTGTCTGTGATAAAAACACATAGTGAGGTTTACTCAGTAATACACCAATATAGTGAATCGGATATCGGATATGGTTGATCCGGATATCCTCCCGGGTTATTTATCGGGTCTTTCTCGAGATTGTTCCACCGCTGATTGATTTGGTGGTGATGTTGTGAAACAATATTGCAACGATAGCGTTTCTATACTTTCACTTTTTCATTTACATTTAAAGTCATAATGAATTGATACAGTGTTCGAATATTTAAAAAGAATGTAAAATTCACTCATTGTGGACATAAGTCAATCAACACGCTAAATAGATTAACTTTTATAAAAACAGCTAAACTTGTTACAAACATAATCGTCATTATGACACACGCTATTAATTGAGCAATTATCGTCTAGATTGTGTTTTTCACACGTCTGAAGGGAACAGACGAAGTCGAGATAAACAAAGGATAATAGTGTGAAAATAACTGTTGGGGCTGAAATTTTACATCGAGATACTGAAAATATCGAAATAGAAATATCGAGATAAACAAATATTTCCAATATAGATAAAGAAGGAAGAAAATCGGGACTTTCAAAATTTCATCGAGATAACGAAATATCGAGAAAAGCGATGTCGAGATAACGATAGTTGACTGTATTGTAAGTTTCAATTGAATATCTCAAGCAATAATTGAGATATTTGACTTTATAAAAAAACTTTAACCAAAATTTCTAAGTTAAAAAGGGGCATAATTCTGTCAATATTGTAGGCAGAGTTATCCAACTTGTCAATCTGATGTACCTTGTTACTATAAATAAGTATTGTAAGTTTCAATTGAATATCTCAAGCAATAATTGAGATATTTGACTTTACAAAAAACTTTAACCAAAATTTCTAAGTTAAAAAGGGGCATAATTCTGTCAATATTGTATGCAGAGTTATCCAACTTGTCAATCTGATGTACCTTGTTACTATAAATAAGTATTGTAAGTTTCAATTGAATATCTCAAGTAATAATTGAGATATTTGACTTTACAAAAAACTTTAACCAACGCAGACGCCGACGCGGACGCGGACGCCGACGCCGGGGCGACTACAATAGCTCTCATATTCTTCGAATAGTCTAGCTAAAAACTATTTCACTATAACTGTACTTATTGCCAAAAAGCAACAAATTTTACAAGATTGTTCAGGTAATTGGCCAGCATTTCTGAGGCATAATGGACCTTTAAAGACATTTTTTTTTGCATATGTTATGCTTCTTTTATTTTAGACAAGGTGTATGATATGACCCCTAAAAATATCTAGTACAACACCATAAAAGATCTTACCACTTTCTTCCTTAACAATGGTAAGCCTGTGACCACTGGCCAGATTTTTCTTCAAGAACATCGAGGAGCCTTTACACAACAAATTTCCCTCATGCATGATGCTATTTGGTCACTGATAACATCGGCCTCATCAAGGTGATGGGTGGACAGAAGAATAGCAGTTCCTAAGAAAAAAGATATAATTATTAATTTTGTTTGCAACCAAAAATTCTTTATTATTTATTCTTGTAAAAAAAAATGCTCACACAGGTGCACATTAACTAATAAATGATTATAATAAATAATGGATAAAATCAGATGAGCATGTTCCATTGTCACATGTTTTTTAATATGCAAGACTCATGGTTCCATGTTAAAACAGCTGTCAGCATTGATGGTCAGAGAAATTTTATAACTAAAACTGTCAAATGACAAACTTGCACTTAAAAGTCCATGAAACTGGTTTCTTTATAAGAAAAACAAATACCAAAACAAAGAATATCCAATTCAGACATACACTTAAGAATAGCAAGAATAGCAGTAATGCACCTTATTTCTGCAGAAGCCAGAGCCCACAGGAGCAAACAAGAACATGTTTGTTAAACACAAATGCCCCCAGCTCCAATTCTTGTCAGTAGCAATATTTCAAAAAATGTTTACCCATTCACTCAGCTATGGACAGAAACATTGCCAAAAAAATTGTAAACCCAAGTTATATAGCTTGACAGAGTCATGGCATTTTGTAATTGTGAAATATATAAGTTGCCAAGTCATTGCTATGGCTTGTGAAGTGATAAATATTCAACTTTATCAAATATATATAAATGTAAGAAATCTATACTTGGCACCCTTGACCTTGACCCACTGACACCTATAGAATATCATGCAAGTTATCTTCCTACCAAATATGAAATACACCTGTCAATAAATAAAGGTTGTATGGGCAAAAATGTTAAAATCTATTTTGAGCATTGATGACCTTGACCAAACTGACCCCTACTCCATCCAAAGGAAGAATACCATGTAAGTTATCTTTCAACCAAATATGAAATATATATGTCAATAAATAAAGGCTGTATGGGCAAAAGTGTAAAAATCTATTTTTAGCACTTGTGACCTTGACCAAACTGACCCCTAACTCCATCCAAAGTAAGAATAGCATGCAGGTTATCTTCCAACCAAATATGAAATATATCTGTCAATAAATAAAGGCTGTATGGGCAAAAGTGTAAACATCTATTTTTAGCACTAGTGACCTTGACCCACTGATCCCTACCCCAATCAAAAGGATGAATACTATGCATGTTATCTTCCTACCAAATATGAAACATATCTGTCAATAAATAAAGGCTGTATGAGCAAAAGTGTAAAAATCTATTTTTAGCACTGGTGACCTTGACCCAACTGACCACTAACTCCATCAAATTTTATGTTCCTATAAATTATAAATGACATCTGTCTATAGAATATGGTTAATACACCTGTAAAAATGTAAAAATCTATTTTTAACATTGGTGACCTTGACACTGGTGACATTGACCTTGACCCAAATGACCCCTTACTATACCCAAAGAAGGAGGACCTCCCTTGGCATGTTTGTATTAAACATGACAGACATCGACCAAAACATAAAAGCTGTATGAGCAAAAATGTTTAAATTTATTTTCTAAACCAGTGACCTTGATCTTGACTCTAGAGACCACTTACTCCACAAAAAAATAGAGGACCATTAAAGGTATCCACCTACCAAATATGCAAGATATCATTAAATAAATTAAGCAATTAAGAGAAATTTACGAAAAATCCAACTTGCCGGAATAATAATATCTGTCATATGTTGCGGTTACCAGCCTCGTTACCGCCCATGGGCGGGTTCCCGAGGGACGGATATTCCGATCCGAACCGCAAACATATGTTAGATATTTTTTCTTGCATATTCTGCCATATTATTTCATATTTAAAATGGTTTACCTCAATATGATATATGTTCATGGAAATTAAAGTCATTTCATCCCTAACTATTTTCTTACAATAGCGTATGAAACTTAAATAACAACAGTGAAATGACGTCATCATAAGCACATCTTTCCCTTCTAAAACGACGTCATTTTAACGCGGTTCATTCATAAAGTGCGCTAAAATGACGTTGTTGTTTGGCACGCGAAATTTCATCTGGCATGGGGGTTGCCAGACGAAATTTCCGGCATTGGTAAAACTCACAGAAACGCCAGTCCGTTATGCAAGAATACGTTAACCAGACAAGGCCCTATTTTCAAAGTGAAAAAAGGGAAACAACTTGGAAATATGGATGACACAGTTATATAACTTGGCAATATCATGTACTTTGTATTGATAAGTAAGTGTGGAAATTATGAAGCCATTAGTATAGATAGAACTTAAGATATTTCCAACTTGCTGTTTTAGGTTAACCATTATTCATTTTCTAAGTGCTGAAAAGGGCAATAACTTTGTAAATATGGTAGCCATAGTTATGTAACTTGACCAGATCATGTACTTTGTATTGATTATTAAGTGTGTAAACTAAGAAGCCATTGGTACAGGTAGAACTTTAAAAAAATCCAACTTGCCGTTCTAGGTTAACCTCGGACGGACGGATGGTTCAATTACTATATGCCCAGGGGCATAAAAACAAGCTCAGTTTATAACATTAAGATACAATGACAAAATAAACATTCAATTCAAATTATAATTAACAAGCAATTATCATAGTGTTGCAAGCAATCCATAAGTCCCCTACCGGTTAGAACCGTTAGAACCCCATCAACATTCTGATGGGCCATTGGCCATTCAATTTTACCAGTGAATGAATGACATGAATGAACTTAAATTTCTTGAGTTCTTAGTTTGTCTATATCACAGTAATGTGTTAAGTTTCCCTGCTTAGTAAGGAAATTATGTTTAAACAACCTTGTCATATTATTACGATGTGGGATTTTAAAGTAAATCCTATAAGGAATGAAGAAGTTGGAGTAAAAAATATCAATTTCTCGAAAAAAATCTAAGTTCAAGGGGGACATAATTCTGGAAAGAGTCTTGCTACAGTATTTAACCTTCTCAAAAATGTTGAGTGATAATAAGAAACATATATATGAAGTTTGAAGTAGATACATTAGGAAATAAAGAAGTTATTTAAAAAAACATTTTTTTCATAAAAATTCTAAGTTCAAGGGAGGTAATACTGATAATTTTTGTGCTAGAGTTGTAAACCTTGTCACATATGATGTGGTTGATGACCAGAAACTTATATTTAAAGTTTGAAGTAAACACCTTAAGAAATAAAGAACTTATAGTGAAAAAGCTGAAAAATTTAAATCAGAAATCTTGAAATTCAGGCTATTTGTTGCCACAGCAACCAGAATTTTCAACATAGGAAGTAAAGAAAAAGATGTGCATAATCTCCAGACTGCCATCTACCCATATTTCAAGTTTCATAAAAATATATTTTTAGTACATTTTGGGTTATTGCGAGATCCAGTGTTGTGGACGGATGGACTGACGGACAGACAGACAGACGGATGGACAGACAGACGGACGGACAGACAGACGGATGGAGGGTAAACCTAAAGTCCCCTCCGGTTAAACCGGTAGGAGACTAAAAAGATGCTAAATTTTACAAAGTTATTACGGGGTATATGCTTCATAATAGCTGTGCAAAAATGTGGGAAAGAAGAAAATCATCATTTTTCGAGATAATGTTCACTTTTAACATCTAAGAAATCAAAAAATATTTCTTTTTTTAGTTTAGAGGTAAACATTTTGAAAATCAGTGACATTTTGTTTATTAGTTTTTGTCTTAATGTATGTTCCATCTCCATTCTGACATTAGTTTATGATTTCATCTTGATTATTGTAACTTTAATTGCTTGCAGGCTGCTAAAAGCAGATCCTTTATTTAAAGTTCAAGTGTAACCTTTTTAAACTTTTTACAAAAACCTTCATTTCTTATTTTCAAATGTGTCATGACAATAAAATATATACTTTTCCTTGCTCTTTAAAGAAATATCACCTAAATAAAAGCAATGTTCATGCATTATGCATGTTATTTGCAACAACAGTCAGTATTATATCAATGTTACTTTTGTATAAATAACAATCATCATGCAAAGCAAACATACCTTAGTGCAATAACTGGTCAACTCCTATTAAATTTAGAAGGACATAACCAATTACTGCACTAAGGTGACGAATAACAGTAACATAACACTTATAGCACTTCAAGCAATTTATAACACAACCAAAGCATAACTTAAATGAATCAATGTGCTCTGGAGCATTTTGTGTGCTTTGAAGCAAGTTTGATAGAATGATGGTGGTGTAAGGATGGTAATCACAAATACACTGCAAGAAGGTAAAATTTTTAAATTGAATTACCTGATTTTCGTTTAATAATTAGATTCCAGACGGCCCTCCGACTGCTTGGATCCACGCCACTTGTTGGTTCATCAAGAATAACTGCCTTTGAGTCGCCAACAAAAGCAAGAGCTACACAAAGACGTCTCTGCATTCCACCGGACAGATTCTTCACCAACATATTTCGACAATAGCATAAATCAACATCTTTAAGCAATCTGAAAAAGTGATTTTGTGCGTGAAATTTAGCAAAAGGACATCACCCAACTTGATAAACATCTATATTATCTGATTTCATATAAATTTTTCATAACATACAAGATTTTACATGAGACATCATTAAAAAATTACTGCTACTATTTATTCTCAGCAGTGTGATGCTTTCTTCTTTAAAGGAACTCCACTAAGGTCCAAAACCTTAAAAAACATAAAATTTTAATTTCTTACATAGATCAGCTGGGGCACTTTAAGAGGGATATGCAAAAGATAATTAATAAACATAATCAAAACTAAATTGAAAATGATATTTTCGTGCTTTTCTTAGCCTGATTTGAGTGAAAAGCCTTTCACTTTGGGATAATTTTTCACTCCTAGAGTAATTATACAGAGAGCGAATAATCTGAAATTTTGCACATAAGTTATTGAAGTTATTGGTCTAGACCAACATCAAATGGATCATTTATCTTGAAAAATTATTCAAGTTTGATTACAGTGTGCCAAAAAACTTAAGTGGAGTCCCTTTAATGTTGTAACTATATAACTGTATTCAGTTTCCTTTATTTCAACACTCAGATCAATGTAACCTTTACTGTGCTTTTCCTACTTTGATTGGTAACATATTTATGGATTTTTAAAAACATTAAATTATATAAAGATATAATGATAAAGAAACTGGTCAGTGTTTTCTCAAACAGTAAACTTCAATTTTTCTAGATAAAATTGATAAAATTGACCAGATTAACTAAGAACATGTAGAATAACAATATCTTATGTAAAATACTTACTGTCATATCTCGTCCTTTGCTGATAAGCCATGTAACGAGCTTCCTTTCATTGAGCTGTAGAACTCCATGTGTTCCTTCACTGTCATGCTTTTGTTTTTAAAGAATATAATTTTTTTTATTAGATTATTAAGATATATACAATGTATTAGAATTAACATTGATTATATATTTTATATATAAAAATATCACTTTTATGACCATAAATTGTGACTCATGATTCATACATGTGAACTCTCCCACTTTAAAGTGACATTTTGCTCATATTTTCATAGTCATGTTGAGTTTAACTTATTATATATTTCAAAAGATTGACAGTTAAAATGGTGATTGACCAACAGCTCATATTGGAAAATGTTAAGGATAAAATTCAAATCTGCCTAAAATATAAAAAGACTGCCCCACTCTTTTTACGGAATTATTTATGAACAATTCGCTTGGATGCGTGTGTTGTTTATTGTTAATGCGAAATAAATTTAAATATTTAAAGGAATTATGGCAAAATTAAAACTAATATTTTGACTTTCAACTGTTCACTCATTTATACCCTTGGATTGGCATAATGTCACTGGTAGAACGCAACACTTTGCGAACTTTCGAGTAGCGTCTTGAAAATTGGCATGCAAAAAGTTGACCATAATTTTCTGATAAGGTTCCGTTGATTTTATTTCAATAGTTTCAGCCAATTTTTGTACACACGGCGTCAGAGTTGGCCGTCAAAGCCCGTTTTTGAACATGACGTCGTTGCGTATCTTTGGCAACTGTTACAGGTATTTCAACGCCATTGACGGACAAAATCTCTTAAATTCTACAGCATTCGACAGAAATTATTTTTTCCTTTAAGCTGATATAAAATTTCTTGTTTTACGCCGAAAAATGTTTGAAAAATCGAAAGAAAATCGTCAATTTTGTGTAAAATTTCATGTTCAGTTTAGACGCGTTTTTCGCTTTAAAGCGGCTTATTTAAAAATTCCTGAAATAAATTTTTGATCTTTTTTCTTTAAACATCCTTTAAAATGTATACTCAGTCTAAATGACTAACAAGAGCACCGCTAGGCGGAGCATTATATGCCCGAAAGTGTTTTTTTTCTTTACTAAGGATGAAGCATTTGTAAGACATTACATAAATTACATAAAGCATTATCTCCTTCAAATAGCAATCCTCCTTTAAAGTTTGAATATTGTGGGCCAAATGGAACTTCAGTTATGCTCTGGAAACTGTTTTTAGTTTTGAGGTAATAGCTACCTTGAACTTTGACCGTATGACCAAAATCAATAGGGGTGTTCTACCTAATATGGACATTCATCCTATGACGTTTCAACACTATGGGCCAAATAGAAATTAAGTTATGTTCTGGAAACTGTTTTCAGTTTTAAGGTAAAAGTGAACTTAACCTTTGATCGTATGACCCCAAAATCAATAGGGGTGTTCTACCTAATATGGACAATCATCCTATGACGTTTCAACACTATGGGCCAAATAGAAATTAAGTTATGTTCTGGAAACTATTTTCAGTTTTAAGGTAAAAGTGAACTTAACCTTTGACCTTGTGACCCTAAAATCAATAGGGGTCTTCTACCCAATATGGACAATCATCCTGTGAAGTTTGAATACTGTGGGCCAAATGGAACTAAAGTTACGTTCCGGAAACTGTTTTCAGTTTTAAGGTAATAGTGAACTTAACCTTTGACCTTGTGACCCCAAAATCAATAGGGGTCTTCTACCCAATATGGACATGAAGTTTCAACACTGTCAGCCAAATGGAACTTAAGTTATGCTCCGGAAACTGTTTTCAGTTTTAAGGTCATAGTGACCTTGACCTTTGACCTTGTGACCCCAAAATCAATATGGGTCTTCTACCTAATATGGACAATCATCCTATGAAGTTTGAATACTGTGGGCCACATGGAACTTAAGTTATGCTCCTGAAACTGTTTTCAGTTTAAAAGTAATAATGACCTTGACCTCTGACCTTGTGACCCCAAAATCAATAGGTGTCTTCTACCCAATATGGACAATCATCCTATGAAGTTTAAACACTTTCGGCCAAATGGAACTTAAAGCCCCAGTCACATTAGAGCTTACGACCAGTGAAGACCAGTTCACGATCACCTGTGACCTCTGGTCGCGGACAATCTTTAAAATGTCTTACGACGGTCATCGGTTATCTTTGACAGTCGCAGGCTATCTTATTTAGGTCCCACGACCAATTTCAGTCGTAGAGAGGTTTTTGAGCTTGCACAAAAACCTCCTTGCGATCAAACAGGTCGCTAGTGATCTTATAAGGTCTTAGGCTGTCGCACGATGGTCGTTCAGAAGTGCGACAATCTTACGACAGTCTTTACAAATTGCCACTAGTCACTGATAATCTTGAGTAGTCTTTAGTAATCGTGTGATGGTCGTACGACTAGTTGTAGGTGATCGCATGACAGGTCACGGGTAGTCGTAAGTAATCCCACACAATCTTGAGACCATCGTACGTTTGCTTATGACCTGTCGTGCGATTGTCAATGATGACTGGTCTTACGATAGTCGCAGAAGTAAATTTATACGTGCAAAAATGGTTTTGGTCGCAGACAATCGCTGATGATCGTCAGTTTTACAAGTCGCCGGTGGTCGCAAGTAATCTTAAGCTCCAGTGTGACTGGGGTTTAAGTTATGCTTCAGAAACTGTTTTCAGTTTTTAGGTCATAGTGACCTTGACCTTTGACCTTGTGACCCCAAAATCAATAGGGGTCTTCTACCCAATATGGACAATCATCCTATGAAGTTTGAATGTTGTGGGCCAAATGGAACTTAAGTTATGCTCCGGAAACCAATTGCTAATGGAAGGACTGACAGACGGACGGACGGACAGATAGACAGACAGACGGACGGGCGCCAGGGGGTATAACATTATATGCCTGAAATTCTTTCGGGCATATAAAAAAAATAGGGGGTTACCGTACCGTGACAGTATGCGTCATTTTATTCCCCCACTCCTTTGGATTAGAGTCACGCTATCACGGGACATTTGTTACTTATATGTCATTAAAATGTCTGCCCTGTGTCAAAATCCCACTATAAACGAAATTTTATGCCATTATGACCACTGCAGAAAATATATGGATACAATAAAGGGTACGGAATTCCGAATATTACAGATAGACAGGCACAAATAAGTGAAATTTGAATACTTAGATGTACGGGACCGTGTATCATGCAATGTGTATATGACTAATATACTGTGATCCATACACTCGTAATATACTGGAACTTTGTATGGTGTCCGTATTTACTAAAATACGTAATATTTTTTATTACAATGTCAGATATTACCAAAATATGATTTTTTTTTATTCTTGCAAATAAACATTTTGAATATAAAACAGAGAATAAGGACGTACTTCAGAATGACCCACTTTCTACAAGAGGAAAGAAATAATAGTCTGATCTGATATTAATGTCAGAATAACATTTTAAATAGTAAAACTTTGAGTAAAATGTAATATTTCCCGGTTTTATATTTATTAACATGTCAATTGCAACTGATTAAATGGTCGGTGAACAAAACATATAAAACGTTGACAGATCCTCTAGAGTGCCCGTAGCATGTACTGATAAAAAAATGACAATATATATTGAAATATCTTTATTTTGTATAAAGATTTACAACGCAACACTCCTTTGTGCAGTATCTATAGCTCAAGACCGCCTGGTTCGCTATACATGTTCTGCTAAACATCCGCAGATGTGTATTTACAGCGTTTCATTATATTTCATGTTTAAAATACTGTTTTTAAGTTTTCCATTTCAAAATAAATTCTACCATAAATTTGGCTATACAGTGAACAATGAATATTTCCATAGGCCGATTTGATAGTTTTTAATACAGCATTCATGGTGAATCCTCAATTAATCATTATTTTTAACATTATGATATTCTAAAATGATAAGCAAAACGAGAAAAAATGTATTATAGATGTTTATTTACTTGTAGATTCAAACGTGCTACCTCTGTAATCCAACACCCACTGAGCTTACGTTTCAAACATGACTGTTGCTTCACGCTAATATAATTGACTAAATTTCATTTATGAACCGTATATTTTCATTTGTCAATATTTCACACAGTTATTTAGCATATACTCTGTCAAATTGTTGTAATAGTTTTTGCTTAAAAATGAAATTCAAATTCTGGTTTTTAATAGGTGAAATAAAATACATATCACTCACAGTATATCACTCATAGTGTGGGTAATACAAAATGTATAGCTTTGCAGAATTTTTTGTAGACTCTGTATTAATTTATGATTGAATTTCCGTAAATTTCTAAATTTACATAAATTATATACATGTAGTTGCTTTTTGTTCCTTATGGCATATTTCTTGATTCAAGTTTATTAATTTTAATTTATTACAATATCAGTAAGTTACACCGCAATGATAACTCTCCGCTGTATTTGTTTGCGCAGCGTACGCGTTGCTGTTGAACGCCTGAGGTCATTTTCTGAACATTCGTATGTTTACAATTCCATATGAAGTTATTAATCATGCTTAAAACAAGAAGAAAATTTGTTTGTTTTCGTACATTTTTTTCAGCAAACATAAACGTCACAAAATGGAAAGGCGATAATAAATTCAATAAAATTGCACTTTGACCAAACCCATGATAGTTAGGCAATTGTTGTTATACATATCTAGCAAGTTTCGTACACTGCTGACAGTTCCTTTTTGCTCAAGTAACATGTTATATTGAAATGTACTTGTATTTAGACTATATTTGGGTTACAGTCTTTGCTTCTGGTCAGAAAATTGAGTATATATTAGTCAGATATTGTGAAGTGCTCGTAAAAAATAGCGTGTATGTTATGAATAAGCAAAAATATCAACGCCTAAATCTTAAATATAAATATGTTTTTTCATTGTCAGGTCTCATTTTAAGTTTTAAGCATTTGCAATGGAACATTGTTGTTGTTGTTTCATATGTATAAGTAAAACTATAGAACAATTCTCCTGATAAGTTGAACATTATTGTCGCACTTTGAAGTCTCAAATGTATCTGCAAAGTTCGTAGAATTTCGTTACAAAATTACTCCAAGGGTAGGGG